GACTGGACTTCAAGGCCACCCACAGACACCAGCAACCCGGCTACCCATCTGTCACGATGTACTCCTGCTGTGGAAAACCCAGCATTGGTGTCACAGGTTGCAGTGTCTGCTCAATCGGTGGGTTTACTCCATAGTAAGGTTATTTATGATCTGGACCGTGGTTACCTCCCCGCTCACCCTTTTCCCCCGCCAGCCGCAGAAGCAGCCGGGGAGCTCTTCTCACCCCTCCTGACACTCGCTCTGTATCTCAGAGCAGGAGGTATTACCCCTGGACGGCTCCCAGCTCTCCCAGTTGGCTGGGCAGAGCTCCAGTTTGGGATCCAGTTTGGGATTGCTGCCAGGCTTATCTTATCTACGGAGGTTTTTTGCCTGAAGCCAGGCCTGAAGGGTTTTCGGTCCTCACGAGCGAGCGGGATTTTTTTGGTCTGACTTTTTACCAGAGGAGGCTACATCGCTCTGGGTTCCCTTTCTTGTTTTTTATGTAAACAACTCTGTAGTCTGTGTAGATGTGCCTCCAGGCAGGTATAGGTATACTTTAGGAACTGAATAAATGCCTCAGCTGCACATTTGATCTTGGCAAGTAGGGAGTTACTTCACCATGCAAGATGGAGATGGCCCTTGTTAGGCAGGTAGATAAGAGCTAGTTTTCCAGAGCTACATCTCAATTCTAGCTTATATGTGGCAATGTTCCTATCTATCTGAGTTATCTGAAACCTCTATAAAGTAAGATCTTTCTGTTCGATGTGCTTGAAAAAAAATCAGAGTTTTCATCCTTATGAAAAACTCACATTTCCATGATTGGGCCAGAGAAAGAATAAAAGGCATGCTTAGTTTCAGCGTTCGAGGGAAGGGCAATGCACGAGAGGCCACAGCGTGACATTCAGAGAGAGCCCACAGCGACAGAGTAATCTGAGCACTAGGTAAGGCTATGCACAGTCCCGTTTCTTCTGTTGCCCTTGGAAAATAAAATGGGATCACCTTTTCTCCCCATGCCTAAGGAGGTCTTTCGCAGATGCAGTCTGACTGGCCGAGGGGGCCGGGCACATTCATCCAAAACAATTTTCCGAGAAGTTGGTCTTTCAAAGAACTTGTGCATCAACAAGTAAACACTCATCCCTGTCCTATTTATTTTTTTCTAACCAGAGAGAGGTGAGTCTTTCTCCCACAGTGAAGGAACCCTTGGTAAACTCCTGCTTGGGAGCCCAGCCGCTCCTAATATTAGCTTGCACCATTATGCAAATGCAGCTCTGGTGTTCCCACACTCTGGGAAGGGACCCGATCCCAGCTTCCCACCGCGTCCAACGGCTTCCTACAGCCCCTGCTCTGCCACCATTGAAGATCGGATCGCTGTCATCAGCATTCGTCCCTGCTTCAGTTCTGACCTGGGTTTTGCTAGCTTCTGTCGCTGGATGTACTTGTTGCCGCCCCGTGTTTGAGAGTCTCTCTGCTCCAGTTTTCAAATGCAGTAAAACATTAATTGCTGAGAATACACAACATCAGCTGCTACATTTAAGAGAGATGGCGAAAGCAAGATTTTAATCGTAATGCTTTATCTCAATGTCTACATGTAAACCTAATTCAGTAACTTTCTGTTTACCTTTTCTGGATAACCGTATAAACCCGCTTAGCAGTTTCAAAAGACGTTGAAAAACCACAAACCCCTGTTTTTTTCATTTTTTTAATTTAATCTCCCAGCAAAGCCTGAGAAGACAGAGCTCCCGACAAAAAGCAAGCAGTCCATTTCTCCACATTCAAGAGACATACCAGTAGCACGCTGAAACTCTTTTTCACTCAGGTCAAATAAAATATAGTTCCAGTTCTTCATTAAATAGAATCCCAGCCTGAACACACTGGAGCTTGAACATTACGGGATTCCGGGTTGATAGCCCCTAATGCACGGCTTGATGGTCCTGGGATAAGTTTTGCAGAACTAGTGCCCTGGCTGAGATGCTAACATGGTGCTACACCCCGTGGAGGACCAGGTCTAGCAGGTCTAGAGATCTCCCTTTTCTTCCCACCTCTTTCCGAAAGGCATCCTCACCTCCCCGGAGCACAGGAGGGGAGCAGCCGGTCGCCCTCACTGCCTCTTTCCCACCTGTCATCCATCCTCTGCATTGCTCCATGCAGGGCAAGCTCCACGGACAAAAGTTTACAGCCCAGTCTAGTTTCCCATTTCATTTTGCTCGTCTACGATGGTGAGGATATTTAAATATCCAAACAGGGAATACTTATGGTTGCCTGCCTGTTAGCACAATATTTTTACGCCTGCCTCCAAAACTGTAAACATGGGAATCAAACATCTGCTGTGCTTTCAGCAGGAGAAGGGATTACAGTGAGGTACAACTACTAACATTTTCTTTATTTCTAGCTTGGATTTTTTTTTTTTTTTAATTGCTAAGTGTTTTAACACAATGATCTTACACACAGTATAAAAGAACTTACATTTAAATAGGCTTACAATTATTTTCACTATGTATTAATAATTTGGATGACACATGCCTTACTCTTTCATGAGCTGCCAGGGTAAAAAAATCCCGTCTAGCCCAGCAAACTTCTCTCTGCATGGCTTCACACCAGTGAACAAGAAAGGAATGCTCCCTAAACCTCCAGGCTTCACCTAAAGCCACCGAGCGACTTTGCCATGTCTGCAAGTGGTCCCATCTATCAGGGTTTAAGACAGATGTTTTCTGCGCTGCAGCTGCTACAAGAGTTCGTGTGTTCAAACTTGTAAAGGAGTCAGGCCACTGCAGCTGAAATACATCTGCACCCAGTCAACTGAGTTCAGGTGTGGCTGAAAGCATGCCAAGTATTTCAGAGAAAATACCTATGGGGACTATTGTTCTTACAAAAAATGAAGGTGTGTAAATGGATTTGTTCATTTCAGGCAGAATTCTCTTTATCGGTCATGTTTGGTTTTAGACAGATTTCCTGTGTGCTGTAACTTGGACTACGCTTAAGGGAAATTTACGTAAACAAAGAAATAGTTGTTTCTGTCTCCTCAGCAATGTGTTATAATGTTGCCAAAGCTATCAAGCTTTCTTATGAAAGTATCAGAAAAACATTTCTTTATAATTAAGTATTGGGATACATATAAGGGATACGTATGACATGAATCATCCTTTTTTTTTACCTTGCCCTGATCAAGATGTGGTACCCAGCACTTTGCTGGATGTCATTATGCAGCCACGCCTTCTGAGCAGCAGCAGTCCTTCATGAAATGCCTTTTGATGGGTTTTTTTTTTAGAGAAAACATGTCTTTCTGTATCACTGTCTGACTTTTGAAAGATGAGAAAAAGAAATTAATTTCTTTGAGTTCTTGGGACTTACTGCCTTTCCTCCTGATGAAATTCACAGGACACAAATTTCCTTCCAGTGATGTAAGGAGGATCTTTCTGATCTTTCTGCATGCTCCAGCCAGTCTGCATCACTTTACTTTTGGTTTTGGGAAAGGGCTTCTGCAAACCTGCCAGAAGTTTTGCCCAGTGACTCCAACCAGTAAATTGCCATAAGCATGGGAAAATCTCAAGAGAAAGCTGAGCTGTACCCTTTTCTACCCTCAGCAGCATCACAGCTCCTCCCGTGGTCTAAGCATCTCTCCACCTTACACTGCCATTATCTGACAGAGGATCTAGAGAGAATAAATATACTGTTAATTAAAAATGTTTTTATGTGACAAGAGAAAGAAAAGAGCCTCGAAAGAACATTAGAGCGTTCTGATGCCATCACTGCAAGACGGCATAGGACAGTGTGCATAGCACAGTGCGGGACAATAAGAGGAGGAAAATGCTGGGCAAGAAGCTGCCTTGGTTGACGGGGTATGTACATATCAATATTTGATGGAGGAGGGGAAAGAGAGGAGAAGGATTCAGAAAATATTTATTTCAATTGGTGCTATACTTCTTACAAAACAAACCCCCCACAAACTCAGTAGGAAAGCAGCATGTCAGAAAACTTAAGTGATCAAGTAGCTGTGAAGTCATTTAACATCTTTAAAATATTCTTCCCCTCCAGGTCATATATTATGAAGAAATACTGCTCTCCAACCCTAGCATGGATTTCTTTACTGTAAAATAAACTTGGATTTGTGTCTGACAATCAATCTTGGAAGCTAAAGTCCATATACACACAAGAGAGGACTGTACGCTTCCCCGTCGATATGCCATACAACAGAAATTAAAAGCCATGCTGTGGGGTGAATAAGTGATTCAGTCCTCCTTCAATTTTCCTCTTTTGAACATCAGTGCAGGGTCCACTTGTGTGGCAGATTCTTGTCCAGTGGGAAGTAGATGGTGTTTCATTTTATATTCAGGTTATCAGACAGATACAGACTACATTTTAATTAATATGTATTTTATATTTGAAAATGAATTGTTTGCTGTCTGGGAAAATGCAGTTTCTAAAAAACAATAGTTACAGAAAATTTCTACTTTATGAAGCAACTTTGGTTCCACATCCCTCAGGTTTCAGCAAAACCTGTGCTAGATAATGTAAGTTTACGAATTGGAAATAAAGATTTTATTTTTTTATTATTATTATTATTTTTACTTAAACTATTGGCACTGGTGGTTCAGTCTTTCAGTCCTGATTTTTCCTTCCTTTCTGTTGTTGGTAGTAGACACAGGACAAAGAAACTGACTCAGCAGCCATGTCAGTGGCTGCATCTTTTTCTTTTTTGTTGCCTTTCCTTTTTTGTTCCCTTAGGAATACTTACTTTTCTTGACTCGACTCTTCATTTGTTGACTAGTTTGTCTCCAACAAGTTCCTCCTCCTGCAAGTACAGCGCTCTGTCCTTCTTCTGTCCCTTGTTATCTGACTCCAAAACAGTCCAAGAGATGAAGAGCCCACGCCTCCACACGAGGAGAGGATCTCCTTTCTGCTGCCAGCTTAACATCCTGGCAGAGGAGTAAAAACTCTTGAGAATCTGACTTAAGCTTCTTTTAATTATCCAAATCTAATGGGATCTTTATTCACTATAACTTGCACCTTTTCTGTATTTCTAGGATGATTTTCAATATGCGTTGAAGGTTTCCAGTGGTTTTCACAACCGGCTCATTGCCCCATCGTTCCTAGACAAGGTACCGTTCAGCACTGCTGTGTCAATCACAGGGATATTTGTTGCAAAATTCAGATCTTAATAATTCCTGCACAGCACAAGAAGCCATGGATATCTCTTTTCAGTGGAGATATAATTAAAAGACACATAATTACTGCCAGAAAATATTTCAAGGAAACATTAGTGTTTCAGCATGTGATGTTTGTTTATAGGTAATATTCTGAGCAGTCTTCTAGGCTCCCCTAAGATTAAAATCAAAACAGTTCACCAGTGGAAAGATGCCTCAAGTTGTCAGCTGAGCATCTGGTATCTTTGCAATTTAACACAGCATTGAAAACTTTTTTGTTAATGCTTTAAACCTAATCATACATTTGAATATAAATATTTTCTGTGCACTGAGGTCAGCACAAACCTGATAAAATTCTCACTAAAGGGATGAACATCCGATTAAGTCATATTGAATCTGCTTATTAGATGGACGGGAGGCATTGCAAAGTGTTCACTCAGCAAGAAATGTTTTCTTTCTGTAGATTTTCTAACGGAAAGGTTTTTGCTGTTACATCTTTATCAACAAACCTCTCTGGATATACTAGAACAGCTCTTTCTGGAAGGAGTTACTTTTTTATTTATTCTGACAGAAAAAAGAAATTTTCTTTTCCAGAATATAAGGATTAACATGAACAGCAATAGCTGCCAAAATTCATGCCTACTGTAACACTGGTATTATTCCAAATGGAGAAGTATTACATTTTTTTCCTAATGCAGTTCTCTTGTAACACTTGGAGGAGATTAGTTCATAAAGGAAAGCCCTGACTACCTGTGACCGTGTGGTACCTTTTAAAGGAATACATCCACTAGCCCCAGCATCATGGCCATACGATTTGCATAATAACTTTCTGCCTATCCAAATTGATATTTCCATTACAATTGTATAAGAGAGACTCTTAGTATTTTTCTCTGCTGTTAAACAGCTGCTGCATTTCAGGCTGGTGAAATAGTTCTACATATAATTTTCTTTTTTTTTTTTTAATGAAAGTGCTTCGGGACCTCTCTAGCTGAAAGATGGCATAGAAATGCAAATTATCCTTAGCCGCATAACTCAGAATTACTTTTGCATTTTACTCTTGATCTGTATCTATATATAAAGCCATCCTGAAAACCAGTGACATTAGCCCTGCTCATATAACTGACATGCTTTTGGGGAAAATAAACAGAGAGCTAGAACTGCCAACTGCTACAGGAATGTTGTAATCCAATGAATGTTCATGCTGAAAAGTATCTCCTTTAATGAATTTTTTTGAGGAAACAATTTAATTTCATTTATAAGTTTAGAAAACAAAACCCAAGAAATTGATACCTGAAAGCCTGAATGAATGTATGTCGTAACTACTCAAGTTGCCTTTTGCCCCCCTAGTTTTATTAACACAGACATTTGGGTTCACATCAATACTTGTTCTTTGAATCCTTTCATGCAAGTTTCTTTTAGTAATGACTGTAACAAAACATATCCCGGCAGAAGCTTGCAAAATATAAGCCTGTTTAAGTTACTCAGTAACGACAACATTTCTTCAAAACTGCAGAAAAAGAAACTCTAGCTGCACACAAATTAAATTTAGATCACTCCTTTGCAGACAGTGAAAGCCTGGCAGGCCAGGAAAAATCCATAAATGTGATTGCAGTGACAGAAAGTAAAACAAAAAAGAGGTCTCTGGTGTCCAGGCAGCGCGTGCCTACCCAGTGCGGGAGAAGTCTCTTCACGGGACTGTCAGTGGTTTGCTCCCCATCCCCATTAGGTGGCTGCCACCTTTTGAAGCTTCCAAAAAGCAATCAGACAAGATTTGAACAAAACCAAAACTCTGAACGAAAGGGCAAGAATAAAGTGCTCATCACAATTGTATTTAGCTATTTAGCCGCACCAGCAATAGCGTCTCCAACGGTTACAGATCACCCATCTTGCTGCTACTACACAACTGTCAGTAAGGATTCTCAAAAATACTCTCCCATTTACACGCTGCTTAGCGTTATGGCAAAACCATTGGTAAAGCTGGTTAGTTGCAGGGATTGCTACCAGAACTGCAATATGAGTTAGTACAAATGGTTCACCTAGGTCATCACTCCTGTGGCAGTGATCAAATTATGACTTCCAGGGGAGACTGGAGTACTCCTTGGGAGGTAGATGTTGCAGTGGAGGGCTATTTTGATAAAGATTTAAAAGTAATGCCCTAAACGACAGCACAGATATGAAAACCACAGCAGTTTCTGCTTGTGCCTCTTACTGGAAAGCAAGCAAGCAGTAGGCACCCTGAGGAGGGTCTCCAGGACAGACGTACCAGCAATCACTTTAGCACTTGCCCACCTGAAAACAAAGAGAGGGTGTAGATGAGTGGAACGTAAAAGTAAAAACCTGAATGTAAATACTAGTTTAAATACTTCTCATCTTGCAATAAATGTATCATGGCATCCTCAGTACCCACAGTTGCTCAAGGCTCTTGTTTCAGGGCTAAAGATAGCTCTGCTGGTAACATGAGACAAAATAATGGTGGAATTGTTTTACTCCAAGAGAAGCTGGGTACTAAGGAACCAGCTTTATTTCCTGCCCCCCACCAGCCCCAACTCCTTCCAGAAGATCCTAATGAGCATTATCTCCTATTGCTTAATACGAGATTTAATGGGACCTCAGCATCTCTATGTAAATACAGCACTGCCTCTGGGGTATGGCCACTGGCCTGTATCGTGTGTGCTGCTACTGCAAGTCAGGCAAGCCTAGGTTTACATATTTTAAAATAGCAGACTTCTGTTTTCATGACAGAAGTTGAGACAAAGGGCTGAAGTCTCACAGCTGAGTAAAGAAGCTTTTTAGCACTGCAAAAGACTCGCTCGGTTTTCTGCCAGGCCAGTCCTGAGTGATGCCAGACCTCCCTTCCACCCCACTCTCCTTTGCACCAGAATTGCTGTAGCTCCCTCAAGAGACAATGGTATTTCTGCTGAATTTCCAACCCTTAGGATCATTTGTGTTGCATATGGTATGCAAACGAGCTTGATGGGACTGTGATACCTTCACAGTGCTCAAAGCAGTGTGCTGCACCATTCAGGATCTGAAAGAAAATTCAAATTCTGCTCCTTATGCAAGAAAAAAAAATTAGGAAACCCCCCATAATCTGTTGTAATTGTCTACTCTTGATTGTGAACATTAGCAGGCAAAGATTAGCACCTTTCCACTCTGTTTCTGTAAAAGCTCTTTTATGCAGCTCTACAGTGCCGAAAGGGCTGCCGATGCATCCCTGCCAAAGATCATGCAGTTTAGTGACAGTCTCGGCTGATGAGACACTTTGAGACCTGATGCAGCGCACCGAAGAAACACGGAAAAGGATGCAGAAGCAGCAGGCAGTTCCCTAATACTATCAAGTCTCAATAAAAAATGACAAGCCGAGACACTTTGGCAGGCTTTCCGAATACCTAATAGGACAATGCTTGTGTAAACTGGCCTGGAAGCAAGGTTAAGGGAAATAAATCCACAGCAGGAAAAAAAAAACAACGAAAAAACTGTAGAAGCAGCAAATTATTTCAGTTCAAAGCCCCTTAGATCACGTCTGACCGTAGGGTGGTAGAATTAGTCCCACTGATTGCTTCCACGAGATATTATTTGGGTCCAGTATTTTGTACGTGGCTATTCAGCAGACGCGCTCCCACCCGAGCCGGAATACATAAATATTTAACTTATCGGCAGGAGCGACTGCGCGAGGGAGCAATTTGTGCCTATGGATTTGCTACGGCGCTGGAATACACCCGTACTCCTCCCTCACTTTGCAGCAGAACCGAGAGGGAGTGAAACCCCAGGAAGATTTGGGGAGAAGGTGCCTCGCTTTTATGGCGGAACCCGTCCTCCCTAAAACCACCGG